TGGGTATGAGGCAGTGAACAGTATCACTTGCAGGTTTTCATATCCTAAGGTGATTACCATAATGACCTATACTTAGTAAGTGCTCAGCAAATCAACGAATTTAATATATTATACCTGTAATCCCAACTATAGTCCAAAGAATGGCATTGAAAATACTTGTGGGGCCCTGGCTCGTGTAGCTCAGTGGCCAGACTGAAAGGTTGCCAGTTCAATTCCCAGTCAGGGCACATGCCTGGGTGGCAGGCCAGATCCCTAGTTGGGAGCTTGCGAGAGGCAACAGATTCACCTATCGCTCATGCACTGATGTTTCTCTCCCTCCCCCACCTCTAAAAAGAAATAAATAAAATGTTTTAAAAATAAATATAATACTTGTGGGATACAGTTAAAGCAGTCCTTAAAGGTGTATACTCTTAAATGCTTATCTTAGAGATTAAGAGTCTGAAAGTTGTTAAGCATCTAGCTAAAGAAATTAGAAAAAGAAAAAAAAACAATAAAAGTAAAAGGAAGGAAAATAATCAAGAAAAAAATGTAGCCCTGATCAGTGTGTCTCAGTTGATTGGGCATTGTCCTGCAAAGGAAAAGGTCACCAGTTCAATTCCTGGTCAAGGCACATGCCTAGGTTGTGGGTTTGATCCCCAGTTGGGGTGCACACTTGTACAAGAGACTGATGTTTCTCTCATTGATCTCTCCCTCTCTTTCCTCCTCCCTTCCTCTCTCTCTAAAAATAAAGTCTTTTAAAAAATGAAAAAATTAATCTACTAGAAAACAAAGATAAGAGGAAAAGAATTTTTAAGAAGACCTAAGTCTTTTAAAAGACAACCTCTGGCAAGATGGATCAAAAAAGAAAATAATAAAGAAGGATGCAAACAAATACATTAGAAATTTAAAAGATAGGAAAATATTAGAAATAATCTTATGCCATTTAACTGGGAAGCATACAATTAAATAATTCATTTAAATTTTAACTTAAAACTAATTCAGGAAGAAATATAAAGCTGAAATAGTCATTTAAAAAAATAATTGAATTAGAAGATAAAAATGTTCACACTTACACCAAGATAAATGCAGATAGAATCTTCCAGGCTTTAAAGAAACAAGGTTATTTCAATCTTATACAAATTATTCCAGAGTATTAAAAAAGGTAAAATTCCTTTATCCATTTGATGAGGCTCAAATAATTAAGATTCTAAAGCTATAAGAAAGGAAATATAAGAGATGAATCTTGCCCATAAATAGGGATACAAAAATCCTAAACAAAGAATTAGCAAACAGAATTCATAAGAGTGCCAGTGGACAAAAAAACACAACCCAATTATGTTGTCTGCAAGAAACCTACTTTAAATATAAATTTCATAAGGGAAGTGTTTTTTAAATGAGCAAGATGAGTTTATATAAAATGGTTTAATACTATAAAATGTATACACACACTTATCACATTAACATATTAAAATAGAGAAACCATATGATCCTCTCAATGCACACAAAAAATGTATTTGAAAGGTTATAAATTCATTAATGGTTAAAGTTTATAAAATTTTTATAGCAAAATAGGTACAGAAGGGTGTTTCTTAACCTGGAAAAAAGTATATGCCAAAAACTTTTAGCAAATACCATTTTTAATGATGAAAAAAATTAGGAGCATTCTTTATTAAGAAAGTTGATACTTTCTTAATTCTTTGGCCCTGGCTGGGTAGCTCAGTTGGTAAGTGCGTCCTTCCCCACACTCCTAGGTTGCAGCTTCATCCCAGTCGGGGCACATACAAGAGTCAGTGAGCACCTAAATGAGTGGAACAACAAGTGGGTGTTTCTCTCTCCGCCCGCCATTCCTCGCTCTGTGTCTAAAATCAATCAATCAATAAAAATAAATCGATTGGCAAATTAAAGAAGAGAAAATCTGAATAGAAAAAGATATAAAAATTTTCACTACCAATCAGGGAAAGTTTATAAATTAAAACAAGTTATCATTGCCACCCAGGAGGTCAGCCACAGGAAGTATTAAGAAAAACGGGGTGATATGTGACTGTGATGAGCTTGTGCAAGTGTGAATTGGCACAAGTAGGCCTTTTTTAGTAAGACTGAAGATAAACATACTTGCTCCAGGACCCAGAGATTCCTATTCCAAGACAACACCCTAGAGAAACTTTCATCGTGACATCCTTGCAAGTGCCCATCGCTGCAGTGTTTGGAAGAACCTTCCTGTTCTTCAGGAAAGAAACAAACTTGGAATAATTTATGAATAATAATAAACAAACTTGGAATAACATATGAATTCTGTAAAGGAGCCCAAATGTCATTGTAAATATAGAATAAATCTCAAAAATAAAGTGGAGTGAAAAAAGTATGTTATTTCTATTAAATTTTTAAAATATCTCATATCTAAGATAACTTGTTATATGTTTGTGTTGTTTATGTGCAGACAGGAATGATCTGGAAAAGTGAGAAAGATTCAGAAACGAGGGGCTGGACAAAGTGAGCACCCTGAGCAAGTGAGTAGGAATGGGGTTCAGAATGGGGGGACAGAGCTTCCTAAGAGCTTGCTCTTAAAATATCCTTGGTGATTAGCCAACCTTGAGATTTGGGATAAGTAAGGTGAGGCAGTGGAAGGGAACTGTTTTCCCCAAATAACTTTTTGCCACTTAAACAAACAAATAAGTAGTAAATAAACTGTAAGAGAAAATATACAAAAATAAAATCCAGCCCATAACAATGGTCAAAGAATTGAAAGTGAGGCTGTTCCTTCTGCATTAAAAAGAAAAACTTTAAACTCATCTAAAAGTCCCAACTAAAGCGCTGTCTGATCTACTCATCTCTTTATGTAAGTGTGTATTTAAGCTAAATTAAAAGCTGGAGCTTGCCCTGGATGGTGTGGCTCAATGGTTTGAGTGCCAGCCCACAAACCAAAAGGTTGCCAGTTCCCAGGTGGGGGCATGCTAGAGGCAACAGATCAATATATCACAAATTGATATTTCTCTCCCCCTCTTTCTCTCTCCCTTCCTCTCTCCCTAAAAATAAATAAATAGAAATCTTTTTTAAAAAGAGCTCTGGCTGGTGTGGCTCAGTGGATTGAGTGCAGGTCTGCAAGCCAAAGGGTTGCCAGTTCGATTCCTAGTTACAGCACATGCCTGGGTTGTGGGCCAGGTCTTGTGTTGGGGTCACGTGAGAGGCAACCATACATTATTGTTTCTCTCCTCTTTCTCCCTCTCTTCCCCTCTCTAAAAATAAATAAATAACATCTTTTTTAAAAATAAAAATAAGTAAATAAAAGCTGGGTCCCAGATGTGTAGGCTCAACTCTGACCTCAATTCTATGTCTGTGCACTAGTGCAGCCCTGATGAGAGGGCTTAGCACAACTAAGTGTTCTGTCTCTAAAAACTACAACACCCATAATGCACTACAACAGGGGGCTGCTTCCAACATGGAAAAGAAATGAGGGGGGGTGGAGTTAAACATCATAAATAAGAAATAAAATAGTATCACTTTCACCAAGCTGTGAAATTACTAACATAAGTATATTGAGGAAAGAGGAAACGGTTCTATTCCTGTTTTAACTACCTTGGGAACTTAAACTTCTGAGCTTTTTAGTTCTGCATCAATGCCTGGATATACATCAAACCTCCAGATAACCCTCTGACTACCCCCTCAAGGACTAAGGAAAGGGTGTTCCCGTATCCAGACCACTGGTTATCTAAAGAAGACTATCTCAGACCAATCCAGGGGCTAAGACTGCAGGGCTGATTCTCCTTAAGGAACCCTTTGCTTTTCTTCTTCAGAAGGTGAAACTATTTCTAACTGCTTTTTCTTGTTGCACAAATGCAATCAAGTACCGTAGTCACTGGGTGAAGCAGTGAAACGGATGTGTGTAGGGTGAGGAAAAAAAGGACAAGAAGTCACTCTGAGAACAGGAACGAAAGGCTTTCTAATTTAACAAAGCAAGTACCTTCACAAGCATTAATGTAAACATGTTTGAAATTTCATGCAACAGGTTGTTCTTTGGAAGTTCTTTAATTTCCGGTTCATCTGTTTATATCACAAAAGGGCTGTTTCCACAATGTCCACCGCTCAGCAGTATTTTCAGAGTTGAGTTTTTTGTTTTGTGTGTTTTATGCCATCTAATTCATAGGGAAACTCGAGTTAAAGACTTTAGCCTTAATTGATAAGGCTTAAGTGATCAATATGTGGACTCCAGGAGGTGGACTCCTTTGTGCCCCCGGGGGTCTGCCAGCCCCCCCCCCCCCCAGAGGGTATCTGAACCATTGTGTTCTCTGGAGGGAATGCCGGTGGTTCAGATGAAGAATTGTCGATCAACGGCTAAAAAAGTACTAGGAAAATCGCCACCAGGACAGTAGTCTCTCTTATCCAATTAACCTTTTCCCAAACCCCTTACTTACCCTTTCTTCTTACAAAAAGGTCGGCTTGAATTGGGACATTAAAGCAGTTTGAGGATACACAACCTGCCATCTTTGCAGATCGCCAGCATCTGAACAAAGCACCCATATTCAACCCTTGTCTCTACTTAAAGGTTTTGATAGTGACAGTCAGCTCGATGGATGACTTTCCAGTTTCATCTTCACCTACTGGTGGGTGGTGAGCTGGACAGGTATGACTCAGTTGATCTTTTTACCACTTTACTCTTTAAAAGATGTTCTGAACTTCGTTTATAGTGTCAGCAAATACTAGCAGGTGTATATATTTTTCTGGAGATAGTCTACAACTCTCAAGGGTGTTCCAAAGGGTTGGTGGCTCCAGAGAATCCAAGGCCCACCGCATTAAGATAAGCTTCTCTGAAACCACGTGGAAGAACTCTGAGCGGGCTTCCGCTCTAGGCACAGAACTCCCAGTGTCCTCGGGGCAGGGCGGCCCGACCGGGCAGTCATCCGAGGCGCGACTTCCAGCAGGGGTCGCTGCGTCCCCGCCCCCGCGTCCAAACTCTCTGCTCCGCCGCTCTCGCCGCTACAGCGCCGACGGAAGGGGCGGGGCATGGGTGGGGCGGTGCCTGGAGGCCTCGGTCGGAGCGACTGCGGGGAGGGAGGGGGAGGGGTGGCTCTGACTTACAGGTAACTGCGCCCCTGCCGGGCGCGCTGCGCCCCCAGCCGGAATCCCCTTTCCGTTGCTTCACTGCGCGCACTGGCGAAATAGAGGCTAGGCGAGCGCCTTTGCCCTGTCCGCGCTTCTGCCACACTCCGCGTGAGTCTCCCAGGTCCTGTCCCGGCCGGGTCAGCTTCGGACGCCCGGGGGGGCCGAGATTGCCCCGGTCCCGACACCTGCTGCTGTCCCCAGACACAGATCGGGAGCTCAAGGACGCAGGCGTCCAGTTTCCCCTAACCTTGAGGACCCGGAAAGGTGCGCAGCGCGCGGGGGTGGGCAGAGAGACAGAGAAACCTGACCCGGTCTATGTAGTCAGTCCACCTCTAAGGGCAGCAGAAGGGAGGATTTTTAATTGTAATAGATCTAGAAGCATTTAAACCAGGTTCTCCTTACGGAGTAGTGAACAGGCTCGGGAACCTTGATTGATTCCCGCAGGTCGAGGACAGCGTTGCCTCTTACAGCCTTCGATTAGTTCACAGATTCTGTATCTCTCCTAAACTTATCACCCAAAACCGCCGTCGGGCTTCCCGCCCCGATTACCCCTAGGCTCTTGTACCCCTTCTGGCCCAGGAAATCTTTTAAAATGTACTTTTACCACTTCCCTACTTAAGACCTTTTACGGCTTGTATGCCCTCTGAGTCAAGTCTAAGGACATTTTAGGTTTGCAAGGCCCTTGGAGATCTAGCTTCTTGCCCATCAATCCAGCCCCATCCTTGTTCTTTTCCGGATTCATTCCAATGCTCCAGTTCTGTTGTACTTTCATTCCACAGTAATTAAGCACTTACCATGTGCGATTCAGCAGAGGAAATAATACAGGTGGAGATCCCTACTCCCCTACTAGAATGCAAATTCTACTAGGGGAGTTTACATTCTAGTAGGGGAGACAGGCGGGGGGGAAAAAACACTGGTAAGTTATCAGTTATGTAATCTTAATAGCAGAAAATAAGATCTATGGGGGAAAAAAGTAGAGCAGAGTAAGTAGATTGGGAGAGGGAGATGCCTATTAAATAGAGTCGGAATGAGTAGTCATCATTGAAGTGTAGATGAGTTATCCATGCAGATACCTGGGTAAGAGTATTCTCGGTGCAGCTGAAACAAAGGACTCTGGCCAGAAATGTGGCTGTTGTGATGAGCAGCAGGAAGGCCAATGTGGCTGGCGCTGAGGGAGCAAGGGTGAGAGAGGCAGGAATTGAGGTCAGAAAGGAGAATGAAGGGGCCAGATCACAGACTTTAGGCCATAGTAGGGATTTTGCTTTTCTCACTTATGAGGGAAATAGCGATGTGGTATAAATTGCTTTTTAAGAGTCATTCCTACACTCTGGGGAGAACAGGCTCTAACAGAGTCTTTGTAGCAGCCCTGGTGATAGTGGCCTGAATCTGCTGTGGTAGCAGTGGAAGTGGTGGGATACTGGACTTGGTATCTTGGTATAATGCATGTGGGTGTGAGGGTATCAGAAGAGTGGAGAATGACTGGAAGCTTTTGTTCTCAACTACTAGAAGGGTGGTGTTGTCGTTGACTCAGGTGGGGAAGGTTGCAGATAAAGATTTGGGACTGGGAATATACATATTGGGAGTTTATTTTGGACCAGTTGCTTGAGTTGCCTGTTACTCATACGGAGACTGAATAAATAGGTAGTTGGATATTGTGTCAGGGGTCCGCAAGGCCACCTCCAGGTTCACTGATTTATTAGGAAGACTTAACAGGACTCAGCTGTGGGTCACATACAAAGCACAATCAGCACTGGAGAAGATGCATGGGACAATCTGGAGGAAGCAGTCTTCCAAACTAAGAGTCCTTTCCCAGTGCGGTCACACAGGACATGCTCAATTCCTCCAGCAACAAACTGGCAACACATGTGAAATGTCTATCAGGAAAGCTCACTGGAGACTCCGGGCCCAGTGTTCTCATTAGGATTCAGTCACATAGGCAGTGTCTATGGAGAATGTACCAAAATTCCAGACTCCTATAAGCAGGGATTCAGCCTATATCAAATGGTTTGTACAAGAAGTTTAGGCACAGTGCGCCACTCTGGGAGTGGTGAGAATGAAACCTGAGACACCAGCCAATTGCTACCTTGCAAGCAGACTTTTCTAAGGATAGCAGTGTCAGACCTGCTAAATTAACTCTTCTGCACAGATACACAAATCTGAAATTTGTAAGGATGGTCTGGAATAGTGATACAGATCAGGGAGTTGTTGACGTATAAGTGGCATTTCAAGCTGTGGAAATGTCTGATGTCTTGATATACATTAGTCAAAACTGATACCTGAGCTGGACGAAGTGAATGGAGAAGAGGGTCAGACTGAGCCCTGTTGCCCTCCGACACTAAGATGTCAGGAAAAAGAGAAGGAAGCAGCAGAGAAGCCTTGAATGGCAGCAGTGGGCAAGTTAGGAGGCGAACCAAGACAGGCATCCTGGAAGCCAACTGGAAAAGGAAAGTGGTTAGTTTCAAATGATGCTGAGAAGTCAGATACAATGGGGACTAACAGATGCACTTTTGGATTTAGAAAACAGGGCACTGAGTACATAGACAACCATTTGGTGGAATTTTGCTGTAAGAGGAGCGGGAAAGAGGCAACAGTTTAGGGGTAGTGGGGTTTTAGGAGAATTGCCTGTTTGTTTTTGAATGAGAAATGATGGCATGCTGATGAGGTTGGTCCACCAGAAAGCAAAAAATCATGGTTGTAACTTGATGTCGCCCCCAAGCTTAAATTCCGGCCACTTTTGCCCCCAGGCCTGCCTGCTCTGGGCTCCAGCCTGTGCAGGGCTGGGCTCCTTTGGACCTCAGCTTTCAGGTCCCGTTCTCTAACAGCCGGTTCACTCACCCACGTTCCACTTCAGCGGGCAGTTTCTTGAGGACAAGGACTGTGTTTTATACATGGACCTAGCTGGCCACTTGGCATATGCAAGCAAATGCACGATGTGGATGTATCATAGGTAGGATGCTCATTTCATTTCTTAAAAGTGGCTCTACAAGTATGCACTGGTTTTTGTATGTGTTGAGCAGATCGGGGATGGGAGTGAGGGATAGAGTACAGTTTCCGCCCTGTCACTACTCTTGGGACATAAGAACAGCACCAAAACAGTATTGGCACAACATGTGTTTGGAAAAGAGCACGGGGAGGGTGGAGGAGGATGGAAGGTTTTGTGTGGAGCTTGGAGGGCAGGAGGCCATGTTAAAAGGACAGAAACTTTTTTTCAGTGGTAGAATCCTTATTTTGCAATGCAATACAAGGAACCCCTATATTCATCACCACTGCAGTTCTGGTTGGAGAGGGCTTGGGCCTGCAGGACCCGCCCCTCTGGCTCTCTCGCTCCTCGGGCCAGTTCCAAAGCTCTGAGGCAGAATCTGGGTTCTCACACTCCACCCCGTGGCCCTGGGTGTCCACTGCAGTGGTCATCATCTCCAGCAAAAATTTACATTACTGTGTTTCCTCAGTTTTATGCTTATAAATTTTATCTAAGCTTCAGCATTTACCAACATACCTCTGCTAGGGAGCACAGCAGATTAGAGAGGGAATGAGTAACTAATTACAGGTAATGAATGTTTGGCTTGCCATTTTGGTTGTGTTAATAGTAATTACATATGAGTGTGATTTTTAAAGCCATTTTGTGCTAGTAAAAGTTTCCTAGTGTAGGTAAAGATAACTATTCGTGGTGGATGTGGACAGGACCATAACATCCAGGCGTTCCTCATAGAGACCCCAGTGTGGCGTAAAGGCAGGGAGGGGGCGTGGGGAGTCCCAGGACTGACCTGGAGCCAGAGCTCCCCCCGCCCCCCCGCAGGATGTCTGAGTGGGACAACACTTCAGTCTGCTTCTGAAGGTAAGGAGCAGACTGAATTCTCTCTAGTAGTGCAGTCAATGAAGGTAAGTGTTTGTTCAAAAGAAAATGAAGAGTGTCATGGAATGGCAGAAAGAGCAGTGGGTTTGGAGTCAGAAGATTGGTGGGAGGTTTAGCATGGTGGTAAAGAGCCTTGATGAGGAGCCAGGAAGCCTGGGTCTGAGTCCCCTAAGCATCTGTGTGATACCGTAACTTGTGGGCTTGTGGAAGGAATAAACGAGTTAGTATGTGGAGTGATGCCTGACCCATAGTAATCAGTGCGTGCTGAGAAGACTTGGCATTGGAATCCTGGCTCTATCACTTACCAGCTGCATGACCGAGCCACTTGTTAAACTGCTCCAAGTCTCATCTGTACTCTTCTGTAAAACGAGGGGCCCACACAGAGTTACTCCTGAGAGGCAGCCGCCTTCCTCCTCTCAGCAGACTGGTCCGCCCTGGAGGTGTTGTTCACAGGGGCGGAGCACACCGCCAGGGCCTGAGCTCCAAGGCGTCCACGTGGCCTTCGGCATTATACCTGATAGCAAAAGAATTTGCTGAAGTCACTTAGACCGCTGTTCTCAAACTTTCTGTTTATTGGGATCCATAGTATATACGTTTACTTGATGACTGTGTGTGTTTGTGTGTATATGTATATACGTATGAGTGTAAATGTAACAAAAGTTTCATAAAGCAGTGTTTACTTTTATTATATGTGATACACTGTAATATTTTCTATACCTTTCTGTTCTAGTTCTGAAAAAGTAAAAGTTTTAAAAATAGCCCATGACACACAGTTTGAGAAACACTGACCTCAAAGATAGGCCAGCCATCATTACTGTCTTCCTCCTCTGTGCGACCTGAGCATCCCACAAACCAGTCTGGTCGGCCCACTGGTATCAGGTGTTGGGCCATGGCTGTCGTGGCCCAGAACTCAGACATCGCCTGCATCGTGCAGTGAGTCCCACACGGAATTCCCGGTCCCCATAGAGAACCAAGGTCCCACACAGAATTTCTGGCGCCAATGACTGCAAGCTCCGGCCACTTTGGGTTAACCTGCCGTCAGCCTTGTGCTGAGTGGGAAGGAGGAAGGAAAAATCGCGGGAATCATTATCAGATCAGTGTGAAAGTATAGCCTTGATGCGAAGGACAGTCGTTCACAGACTTCGAGTATGAGATACTGACCATATGGCAACCCCTCTCGCATTACTAACCGTGGTTAAAACCATCCTGATGGACTGGGGAAAGTCTGCCACTATAATAGTGTCTGCTGCCTTCGCAGTAATGTAGGAATTGATTGCTCTCTGGCACGTTAGCACCTCAGTGCCTCAGGAAGCAGTTTCCTAGGTTGTGGGTCTCCGAGTCTCTTCCTTCTCTGCTAGCTAATGCCTCTGCTAAGCAGCGGGAAGATGTAAATGAAATAAAGTGCATGTCTGTCCAGTTGGTTCGTCCAGCTTTGATTTGCTGGGATTGGAGGTTGAAGTAGAGTTTAGAGATTCACTCTGGGTTTTGTGAGGTCACGATCTGGCATCTTTCCACAGTCAGGTCAGTGTTGTAAGGGAATGTATGGCACATGTCAGTAAATAGTCTTTCTGTGAGATGTTTTTTAGAGATTTTATATATTTATTTTTAGAGAGAGGGGAAGGGAAGAAGAAAGAAAGGGAGAGAAACATGCAAGAGAAACATCAGTCAGTTACCTCTCACACACCCCAAACTGGAGTGCTGGCCCACAACCCAGGCATGCGCCCTGGGAATCAAACCTCTGACCTAATTCACAGGCTGGCACTCAACCCACTCAGCCAGGGCAAGATTTTTTTTTTTTAAACAAATTATCTAAAACTATTATTAACATTTTCCAGTAGCAATCAGTACCAAGCTAACTTGGGGGTTGGAAAGAGTAGAACCAGTGTTTTCACATATGTTCGTATCTAGCTCGACTCTCATGACCAGCCTGTGAGGTAAGCATGTTAAGTACAACTTGAAGACTCACTGTGGTACGGTGCATGGCCTCCGTGCACGCAGACCACTGTGGCGTAGCAAATGTGACATGGTCACAGCCTGTGTGGTGTATGTTGTGAGACGCCAGGCCGCTACACTCGTGAAGTGAAACCGCATTCCTGTCTTGCAGGGTGTGCACCGTGGCCATGACTAGTGTCAGGCTGCCTGCCAGTATTTTGAGAAAACCGGATGCCTGGGTCAGACTCTGGGGAGCGGTACGTGGGACGCCTTCATACAAGCTCTGTGCTTCCTGGAATCGACACTTATATTTTTCTAGTACCAAATTAAATGCATCAAATTATAAAACACTTTTACATAACATTTTCTCATTGAGACTCCCGGGACTTTTACTACCTCCAGAATATATTTTCCCATTTTCCATGAGATTCAAAAGTAATATAAGCTCTAAAAAATCTGCTAAGAAGACTCTGCAGAAAGTTGAGGATGAAGAGGACTCTGGTGAAGAGAGCGGCCACGACGAGCTGAGTGAGCAGGAAGAAGGGCCGGGGGACGACCCCAGCGTGGTCAGAGACTACAAAGACTTGGAGAAGGTCGTGCAGTCCTTTCGGTATGATGTTATCCTGAAGACAGGCCTGGATATTGGAAGAAAGTAAGTACGATGTGCATTTTATTACAAGATCACTTTTCTTGTTGGCTGTTTTAATGTAGCATTACCAATCACGAGGCCCATATTATGGTGAAGAGCAACCATAGATGAGACCTTATAGGAAACCTGTTTCAATTATTTCATTTTATAGACGAGAAAATTGATTCCCAAAGAGGTCAAGTGATAGCCTGAAAATCTCATGTGCCATATTTTTTTGTTTCTAAAACTCCCTTAAGACTATAAAATGAACTGTTGATTTTATGTTAGTAACATCTTTAAGGAGAAAAGGGATCACCATGTAAGATGTATATAGCAAGAATAAAATGCATCTGGATTTTACAGTCCAGAAAACAGTGTGAAAAAATATCTCTTAGAATCAACGGAAGCTGTATAACGTGGTGGTTAAGAACGCAGGCTCTCCTGACTTGTGTGGCAGAACACCGGCCTGCAAACCAAAGGGTCACCAGTTCGATTCCCTGTCTAGGGCACGTGCCTCAGTTGCAGGCCAGGCCCCCCAGTTGGGGCCATGTGAGAGGCAACCACACACTGATGTTTTTCTCCCTTTCTTTCTCCTTCCCTTTCCCTCTCTCTAAAAATAAATAAAAAGAAAAAATTTATTCTTTTATTTAAAATAAAATATACTTTCCATACTTAAAAAAAAGGAATGCAGGCTCTGAAGCCCAGACTATTGACATTCCAGTCCTGATCATGTATATGACCTTGGACATAAATTCTCTGTGCTCCATTTTCCTTTCCTGTAAAATGGGGACGATAGAACCTACTTAAGAAGGTAGTTGGTGGGATTGAATATTTCTCTAAAGTATTTATAGCAGTACCTGGCACATAGTAGGTACTCAATATATGTTACTTGTGATGATGAAAATTCGTCCAGGCTGGGTGGTTTGGTCTGTGTGTCTCTCTCTGTCTCTCTCCCCCTCCCCCTTTTCCTCTTCTCCCTTCCCCTTCCTGTCTCTCTAAAACCAACAAACATATCCTCGGGTGAGGATTGAAAGGGAAAAAGTACTGTGTATGTTCATATATAGTGCACAGAGATACTAAGTGTAACTTTCAAGATTCTTGATTTTAGAGGAATAGAGAGAAACATCCACACGAGAGAGAAACATTGATCTGTCACCTCCCGTACACACAGGGACAGGGATCAAATCCGCCACGTAGGTATGTGCCCTGACCAGTAATCAAACCCACAAGCTTTGGGGTTGGGTTTGGGTTTGGATTTCGGTTTGGGATGCAAGCATGGGACAAAGCTCTAACCAACTGAGCCACCTGGCCAGGGCTCAAGATTTCTTTAATGTTCCCATTCTCTCCTAGACTAATTATACAAGAATAGTGACCCTCATCTCATTGTTCATTCATTCCTGTAGCAGTCATTACGCACATACTGAGTGCAAGGTAAAAATTGTGGTATGAATGATAAGTTCAGAAAGATTTCTTTGTGTAACTGGTACCTTTATGACCTAATTTTCTTTTTAGTTTTTTTATTTTTTATTTTTAAAATATATTTTATTGATTATGCTATTACAGTTGTCCCACTCCCCCCTACTATATGACCTAATTTAATGGCATAGTTTACTTTTTCAATCTGTGAAGCTTAAGGGTCCATAAAGGTGACTCTGAGCCCATAGGCAACCTGATTGGGATTCGTTCGTAGTCTCTAAAATCTGGCAAATTTGAAAGGGGTGCTCTCCCTCCCGCAGAGTGATAGCTGCTGCTGCTGCTGCTGCTGTTATTAAGGGGAACTTATATGTCAATTGCCTGGAACCAGAGCTTCAGGAAGAAAGGGCACTGATTTCTGTCTGGATCCTCCCCTGGTCTAGTTGCCCCAGAAATTAGATTCATAGAGATTAGCAGCCTCAGGACTGGAGTTTCCCCACCTGGCCATGCAGACTAGTAGAGGGTTTCTTAATGACCCCATCGTAGGCATGGTGCCTGGTTTTTCTGTCAGAGCACAGAGCAGGTATGTGAGGGGAAGGGAGTGACTGCTTACCTTGTTGTGAGTCACAGCAGCTACCACGTTGCAGGGAGCTGCTGCACAGGGAGTCAGGTGGGGGACCCAGCCCTGTCCCAACTGGGGCAGGTGCACGCACTGAGCCCCCTCAGAAAGCCCCATCAAGGGACTGCTTCCCTGCCTGAGAATTACTAGCAAATCTTTGCAGCAGGTCAGCATCTGTTCAAAAGTCCCCTTTGGTCTCCCTGTTTTAGATACATATGGGAGCAGCTGACTTTCACTTTCCCAGCACCCAGGCTGAAGATTTTGTGGGGAGGTAGGTCATTGTCAGAGTAAGCATTAATGGCAGGTGTGTTTCAAAAACTTGTATAATGGTTTTGAATATATTTTTATTTTAAAGCATTTTGACTTTTTTTTTTTAAAGCAAAGTGGAAGATGCATTCTACAAAGGTGAACTCAGGCTGAACGGGGAAAAATTATGGAAGAAAAGCAGAACGGTGAGATATTAAGACAGCCAGCTGTTTTTGTTGCTTTGCCAAACTCAGTTAATGCTGCCCCCAGTTTCCCTTCGGGCACCTACTTGCAGCATTACCCTTCTGAGATCTCCCCAGGGCCTGGTCACGCTACAGTCACCAGCCGCCTTCAGTCACACAGATCACGTGCTCTTTTGCAGCCATGATGACTTTGAGATGAAGCTTCCCCTTTCTTCTTTAAAATTTGAAGATGACTATCAGAACTGGCAAAAATCTAATATTTAAACTTCTCAGTCATTAATGTTAGTCCCTGTGACATTTTAACAATCAGGCTGAAAAGGAACATTCGGTCTGTGCAGAGGGTCTCTGGCCGTCGTTCCCTGAGCGGCGGTGCAGCCCTGCAGCCGGCAGCCCCTCCCCCAGTGCCCGTGGCCCAGGGGCCGGCACCCAGTGAAGGAGGCTCTCGGAAGGGTTACAGGAGAGTATATTTCCACTGTCCAGTGTTGTCACAATAAATCATATATATAGGTTCTGTTAAAAGTATGTATTTTTGTAAAAGTCGATTATATAAATACATCTAGAATTAAAATATTATTAGTAGTATTTTTTGAATGGGGCATTATATTTTCTTCATGCTTTTTATTTTCATAATTTTTACAAGTATTTATCACTTTCATAATTGGAAAAAACCAATAATAAGGTAAAAGTTAACGAAACAAAAAAAGTGTACAACAGAGGCCCTTAACAAATTTAGAGGATGCAGACTTATTGTGTGAGGTATTGGCAGACGTGGCCTCACTGAGTCAGTGCCTGGGGACAAGTGTCCCAGGGAAGGCAGACACACTTTCAGAGGTGGTTTTTATTTTGGCTTCTCTCTTGTTTTAAAACACCCCTGAGGCGGAGGGAGGGCCTCAGCAGGGTCCTGTTGCCCGGGGACATGGCAGGGTGCCAGCTGATGGTGTGGACCTGGGGGAGCACCGAGGCTTTCTCTAGAGTGCTTTCTCCCAGGATCTGAGTGGACAGGAGGAGGATCTCAGCACTTGGGTCAGCTGTCAAGTCACAAGGCTCACGATCCCTCTGGTGTCACCTGAGCTAGCCGGCTCTCGCTGTGGGTGTCAGTCATTGCTCAGTGCGCTGCAGGAAACCAGGCACTCCAGACGTGCTTCAGAGATCAGGCCCTTCCCGCCCCGTAATTGCTTTTCCGTGTTTGTGGCCCAGCCCGCTTCTGGCCAGACGCAGTGTCCAAAGGTGAGACCTGCTCCTGGTGCCTGATGCCTCGGTGCGGGGGTCTTGTTTACAAACACCACCAGGCTGTTTCTCCCCCTCTGCTTTGATACATGGTTCACTGCAGCCTAATTGCTGCAAATGCATTCTGCCTTGGGTGTTCTATCTTCTCATCTGCCTTCCAGATTTCTCCTGAGGGTCAGCAAAGGAAGGGGCCAGTATTAACACTGGGCTGCCTTGTTACTAGGCGACCTGGTAGCCATAGTAACTGCAGCTAAGGGGAGACTGGAAATGTAGATATTTCGAACAGCCCCTAATCCTAGCCAGTTTTGCTTTGTGTCTGCTGTGCCATCTCCCGCATTGGGAAGGACAGGGCTTTGCAGGAAATAAAGAACACCTGCCCTTGCATGGTCCGTTCTGTGGGGCCAGTGCCTGGCTGCTGGCCCTGAGGGGCCAGGCACTTGCCTGATGCTGTAGCTGTAACCCTGGTTGTCTGCAGCTGAGCAGAGTTTTTCTGTGAGCTGCAAACAGTTGGGGCCCAGAGTGCGGTAGGTGCTGGGTAACTGTTGACTCAGAGTGTTTGGAGTCCAGATGTGGGGACTGAAGCCTTCCTAAACTCACCTCTCCCTGGGATCGGCTGGGGAAAGGAGAAGGTTTCCTTCCCTGTTCTGTGCCCTAGAAGTAAGCTGCCGAAGGGACCCACTTTTCAGGTTCCCGTGAGCCTGCTCTTCTCTTAAGGGGCAGAAATCACCCACAGTGTTCTGGGAAAGGGTACACGAGAAGGGTTGCCTTTCTTCCATATGCTTTTGTACCTTTTAAATTTCCTATCAGGTACATATATTAAAAATGAATTTTGTGGAAGAGTTATGCCAAAAAAGGTACAGCAGAGACCCCAAGCCTTGTGTTTTTGGACATTAATCCACAGTTGGAGCTGCATGGTCATTATTTTTTTTAATCGGACCCAGCAGAACTACATACAGGATGATCCCTGCCCTCCCCGCCCTCCTCAGATGATTCCTAGGTCAGTCCATCCTTCACACCTAAGGGGAGAAGCAGTCTTTGTGCCCAGGTATGGTGTGAGCCTTTGCCTCTCGGCCCCAAAGGGGGGACATCAGTGGTTTAGAATAGGTCCCCATGTGCGTGTCCATCTGGCTCTGTGGGCTGCCTGGATTGACCAGGTGGCCTCCTGATGAGCAGCTGTGCACTCCTGTTTTGTAGGCTGAGTGCTGGGCCTACAAAAGCCTTGTGTGAGTGGAAGAACAGATGTTCGTTCCGAAGGCACGAAATTATGAGTGCCTCAGACAGCATTCGTTGGAAAATAAGGTGAAAGCCATCACCTAGCACCATGCCTCTTAAACAGCAGCCGTCCGGTAGGCTTTCGAGTGGTTATGTGTTCCCACGTAGAGTCTGTGGCCCACGTATGGGGCTCTCCTCCCCCTTAGAAGAATGCCCTTGGTCATCCCTGGCTTGTCTTCTAGTAGAAGTCACTTTATCCCCTTCCTGAGTTGCTGGGCAGATCCCCTGGGATCCAGAATTGCCAGGACCAGGTATCCATCTGGGCTACCGGCACCCTGGCCGCTACGGCATGACTGCCTCAGGGTGTGCCCTGCCCTCACTCAACCCAGAGCTCCCATCTGGGCAAGAATGGGTTTGACCTCAGTCCCTCAAACCCACTGCGTCAGCATCCAGTTTGCCTCTCTTTTCCATGGCAGTCCATCTTTGTGAGTCGAGTCCTGCCTCTCTTTTTTTAAGTGTAGTCGGTATATAATTTTATACTCGTCATGTAAGTTTTAGGTGTACAATGTGGTGAGTATTTGGGCCACACCACATGGGGACTGTCCACAGGTTGCCCGCTGTCCAAGGAAGGACCCTGACTGGTGCGGAGCTGCACTTGTTTAAGGCACCTCTGAGTGTGGCCCTAGGAGTGAGTGACTGCTACAGAGTTGGGACCTTTCCTCACCTGCCCCCTGGGTGGTAGTCACCTGCTGAAAGCTCCAAGCAGGGATGTTTGCATTGGCCTGCATTTCCCAGGCTGTAATAAAGGCTCGGTTTTCTTTTAATTTTCAGGTGAAAGTGGGAGATACATTGGATCTTCTCATTGGAGAAGATAAAGAAGCAGAAACAGAGATAATGATGCGGATTCTCCTGAAAAAAGTATTTGAAGAGAAGACGGAAAGTGAGAAATACAGAGTAGTCTTACGACGTTGGAAAAAGTTAAAATTGCCTAAAAAGACTATGATGAAATAAACGAATTGCTTTTTTTTTTTCAAGGGAAAAAGCTGCTGTCTAATGGGGAAAAGAGCTAGCTCAAAAAACAGACATTTTTATTAAAATAAAGCTCTTGTATCATTTGTGGAATCTACTGGGCCATCCTATGGAAATTGGAATCCGTATCTCGGAGACACTCCCAGTGGCCTGGATTTTCCTTCTGGGCTTGATTTGTGCTTGTTTGGACCCCTTGAGCATGAGCGAGGTGTATGCTGAATGCTTGAAGCCCAGGCAGGGTTTTAATGATCAGCCTGCTGTCTGCTGTGGTAACCACATCACGAGGCAGCATGAAATGCACTGGCCTGGTTGTCAGTGTTCTCATTCCAGTTTTATCCCTGTCGGCCAGCTTCCCTGGGTTCAGGCTTCTTAAAGGAAAACCAAGCCAAGCGAAGGTCGCCCAGGGGAGCATCGGGAGACCTCATTCACCACTGGCCTTTCTGAATTACCAACATTGCTGGCCTTAGTTTGTCCTTAGAAGTCTGGGTGAGTCAAGTTCCACCGAATTCCAAGTGGGAAGGCAGTTAGTTAGGGCTCATTTAAAATTAATTGTCTGGGGCAGGGGTTGATCAACTAAGGCAGCCAGAGGCCTTTCAGATGGTACGTAAGAATGGTTTTTACATTTTTAAAAGGTTGTCTAAGAAACAAAAAGGAATATATGACATGACCTTGTGTGGCCCACAGAGCCTAAAATATTTACTATCTGACCCTTTGTGGGAAAAATGTGATGACTCCCCCTGGTATAGGGTAATAGGCTGAGGGTTTAATTTTCAGGCGAAAGTAGAAAATAGATTTTTATCAATGAAGAGAATAAAGACTCAGAAACTAATCTAATTCTTAAGAGTTACAAAAGGGACAGAGCCTAAGAACACAGAGTAGTATTAGAGGGCACACACACAAATATAGGCCATTTAAGGAAAGGCCGTCTGCATAAATAAATTAGTCTTTAGACTCCTAGGGGCTGTTCCTTAGCACTGGCAGGGCCAGCCCGTTGAGAGTGAGGTTGGCGGCAGCGCAGGCAGAGCTCTGCAGCCCGAAGCAGTGGGCCGTTGGGGCCCATGATTCTGGAAGGAAGGCTTTTACCAGCTCAGCTTTCAGAAGACCAGGGAACACCAATTTTTATTTGAAATCTTAAATAAGTTCTCAGGAAGAAATAGTGTATTCTGTGCACTGAGTCAGAGGGGATTTTTCTATTTTACCACTTATTAATTGGGTTCTACTGTCATCAGTGAAAATATGTTTAATTTTGACATTATGAATTGTAATTTAGATTATACTGACATCCATACTTTTTCTCATTCCCTTCACCTGCCCCTTTTCCCCTCTCCCTGTCTTCCTGCCTCTCCCTCCCTTCTTGCTTCTCTCTCCCTGTCTTCTCTTGGTTTCTCCATGGGAAATAACAGTAAGCCCCAGAAGCCTTGGATGGTGAGGGACAGCATGAGAAGTGTTGGGGGTCCTGGTTTTTAAGCTCAGTCTTGGCATCAGCAAGTTGGGTGACCTTGGTCAGATGGGGATCAGGTTACTAATTGCCTTACCTGTGTCTTTGAAGGAGGAAGAAAGTGAGAATGTACAAAGCTGATGAGTTGGTGGTAGGCAGAGAGCAGGAGGGGGGCCGTATGGAAGGCTTTTTGGAGCTACTGGTAATTAGTCCCTAACTTAGCTGCCCGGCAGGGTTTGACCCGTTCCAGATGTCTCCATTTTTTTTTATGGTTCCCCCCCCCTTTTTTTTCTTTTTCTCTCTTATCATGTTTCTTCTTATAGGTGTCAAAACTCATCCCAAACAATGAGTTCTGGGTTACAAAAGAGGATTTATTTCTGCACCTGTATGTAGTCTTTGTCCACAAATCCGTTTTTAAAAATCAAACTAGGAAAGAAGATACCTGATGATGGAGAATGTTGGTTTGATCACAGCACATGGCAAAAACTGATCAGAAACAAAAGCAGTTCATAAAGATTTATGGAACTCTTGGAGCTCACTCATGCTGTTGTTTATAATGCTGTCCTGGCAAAGCCTCCTCAGTGAGGATGTGGCCACCACAGTGAAAAGATAAGAAATTTGGATGTTCCTCATGCACTGGTTCTGAACTGGGGGTGACTTGGCTGCCCGAGTACATTTGGTGATGTCTGGAGAAATTTGTGGTTGTCACAAATGAGGGGGTTTCATGGGCATCGAGTGGGTAGAGACCAGGGACACTAGTGAACACCATCCGTACCGTGTACCAACCGCCTGCATGACAGTTATCTGATCCAGCACGTCCGCAGTGGTGAGGCTGAGACACCCTCCTCCAGTGGGGCGGCGAGGAAGGTTTTTGTTAACAGTTTTTGTTTTCCCACAAAGGTATGGAAATGCTTCTAGTGTTTGTGCTTTTTAAAGAATCAACAATGTCAAAGTTAGGCTTTGGTAGAGGCCAGTCCAGCCCTTTCACCAGTAATGGTTAATCCTTTCAAAGAAAGGGCGCCCTTATGGGAAATACAGTGCTAATTGCATTTCTCTGCTAATAGCATTTATACCTTTCCTGGAAAATTATACAGATGGCTAGGCAATAGTTTCATTATCTTTTTAGCGTCTGGGGGATAAGTCATGGTTTATTTGGTCAATAATGATTGGGGAGGTAGAAACATAACTACCATTTTTCAAGAAACTAAAAAGAAAACAGATTTCATTTGGGGTGGCAGTGTGTGTTCCATGAGCCTTGAAGGGTAAGCAGGGTATATCAAAACATTCTGGTAAAGTTCTGCTTCTCTTTGTTTAAGACAGAGGGGAAGGGAGGAAGAAGGGAAGAGAAACATTGATGTGGAAGAGAAACCGGTTGCCTCTCATACGTGCCCTATCGGGGACCCAGCCTGCAAACCTAGGTGTGTACCTTGACCAGGAATCGAGCGAACATTTTGAAGGATGACACCCAACCAATTGAGCCACACTGGTCAAGGCTCTGCTTTATCTCGGTCACATATTTTTTGGCTTTCAAAAAATTACTATCATAATGATCGGACAATTTACTGATGATCTCAGGGAGTAGTGAAGGAAGTTATATAAAGTCCATGGAGCAGACTCAGGAGAACAGAATTTGTGTCTCCCAACCTTCTTTCTCTTGATTTTTGGAGAAATATCAATCCATTATTCCACTTAATTAGGCATTGATTGCTTGATTGCTTGAGTCTCGTATGCACACTTACTGGGGATTGAACCCACAACCTTGGTGTACCTGGACGATGCTCTAACTACCTGAGGTGCCTGGTCAGGGCCAAACTTCATTCTTTCAGTGAGTCACATCAGTTGCTTGAAACCAGCCTTCGTACCCAGCCTCCAGGTTCTGTCATTTTTTTCTCATTTTCCTGTATTTCCACTGGTCCTCCGTAACTTTAGCCCCCTATTGTCGTGTGTGATGTGTATCTTTTTGTATGTATTGTAAAATGTTTTGCTGTTCTATGTTAATATGTCTAAATTTCATAAATGATAATACTATACATTTCTTTTTGTATTTTTTTCACTGAGAATAGTTTTAAGATCCACCCATGGCACTGCAGATTCATCTAATCCATTGCTCCTCTCTGCCGTGGAGTAAATCCCAGGTGCGTGCCCCCGTTTGGCCTGCCCACCCTCCCAGTGACTTTCTCCAGACTGCAGCACACGTGCTGCTTGCTTGCTCCGCACAGCGCTGCACCAGGCCACCCTCCCACGAGCAACACACACAGCCCCTGGCCCGACCAGCTTTCTGGCCTTTGCCAGTCTAATGCGGGTCTACAGAGGTATAGTACTTTCACATGCACTCTTCATAAGTTCTCCCTCTCCCCAGCCTGCTGCTTCTCCCCAGCCTGCTGCTTGGGATTTCTCCGCCGGCTCTGAGATGGGGTGCAGCGTCTGACTGCCGCTTTCCTGTTGCTCTCTAAGACGTGCTCGCTGGCCTTTAAAAATTTTTTTTGTTCATTATTGCTTAACACACCAAGTATGTCAAAAGCAGGTTAGTGAAAAGCCTACAACTTTGCAAGGTCCTGAGGACATGGGTTGCTCACTAAGCATTTGTTGACGCCATTGTAGAGATGTCAACGGCGTCCAGCGGGCCTTCCCTCTGGGGACTTCATGTTTAAAGCTGGAGAGACCTTCCCCAGGGAAGATGAGAAAAGCCCCAAGGACTGTGGTCAGGGCACAACAGCGAGGGTCTCAAATGGGCAGTTTCTGTTTAGAGGTCCGGACTGGCCATAGCCACTGTGCAGCGGCTCCGAGGGGTTTGATGCTGTGAGACACTTCCCCACAGGGTGTGTGGAGAATTTCCTCTAGGGTTGCAGGGGAAAGCTCGTAAATCTTGATTCTGAGACAAAGGTGGGGCCACAATGACAGCAGCCAGCTCAGGATCTAAGCGGCACAATGACTGTTAGTATCTCGAGGACAAGGCCCCATCACCGAGGGCCTAACAGACGCTGAAGTATGTGCCTTATCCCACCTGGAACCATGCCTGTGCAGATTTCAACTTGTCAGATCAAGGGGACTCGGGTTTAGTACCTTGTATCAGAAAAAGCAGGAACGGAACCCAGGAAAGAACTGATTTCTGCAGCCAGCACTTGACAGAAGGGTGGGGAAACTGTGCGGGCCTGCAGGTGTGCTTCTGGGCGGTGCCCAGCCGGTTCCACCTGTGATGTGGCCTTGCCCGTCTGTGCCAAGGGGAAGCACCAAGGTCTCAGCCTGCTTATACCACACACACCTGGAAAATCACTTTCAGGCAAGAGATGTCAGGTTTTGTGCTGTTTATCATCAGAACCGTCCCTCCAAGCTCAAACGAGCTTAGCTGCCAACTAGTGAGGGTGGGACTTGTGAGAATCATGGAGCAGTGCCCAGGAGGTGGCAGGTGTTAGACTTTTGCTGAGTGAACTTCCTCTAGAGGCAGAGATGAGTCTTCCTGCATTCCTTGTTCTATTTCCTGTGGCATTAAATGCTTCGGCGGGTCAAATGCTCTCTCACTTGGATGGATCCAGAAGCTCAGAGACTGGACAGTTTGCAAAAGTTAAATAGTGGGGGACCGCTAGGTAGAGATATGGAGAAGTTACTGCACACAGCTACACAAACGGCAGCTCAGAAGCCACAAGCACAGACTTTGGTGTTGGCCCAAGCAGCATTAGAGGCCCCCAGCTCTGCTAGCTGTCTGACCTTGACCAAGTTACTTAACCTCTGGAAACATCCCCTTTTGTAAGGGGATGGATACAAATATCTAGCCCACAGGGTTTCTGTGGGGATTAAAGGAACTATGCTTGTCAGGTCCCAGCACATTCTTGACTCACTTCAGGAACTCAGAAGATGAGAGTTCTCACGAAAAACAGAACTCCCTGTAATTTAAGGACCCACTGTCACTTGTGAATACACAGCTGTCACACTGCAGGAGCTTCTGGGAGGAGCAGCGGCATTACACACTCTCAACCTCCGTCAAGAACACAGTTCACCATCTGAACTACCAACTCCATTTAGAAGAACAAATGAATTCTTACCCCTTAAATAATGAAATCAACGGCCATGCGTGGCCATGCAGAAGTGTTCTGGCAAAAGCCACCGTAATTTGGCCGGCACTCCTGCACCCTGACTCTGAAGCACACGGAACCCTGCCTCTTCCCACTGACCCAGCGACAGCTGAGGTTTGGTCTGCCACTAGCTAAGTAGTCGACTTTATTTTAGCACAACAGGAAACCACTTATTTCAGCCGGAGCCTGTTTCTAATAACCAGGAAGGTACTAAGCCTCCCGTTTCTGCACATACACACAACTCAGTGAGTTCTGTGAAGTTCCTGTAGTGCGGGGAGTGCTCGGAGTGCAGCCCCCAACATCAGCACCAGCATCACCTGGGAATGCAAATTCGCAGGCCCCACCCCAAACCTACCGAATCAGAACCTCTGGTGGTCCTGCCCCTTGTGGGTACTGATGGATTCCCACCCAGATCTCCTTTGCCGCTGCATTCATCCTGTAGCCGTTGAGGGCCACTGGCCCTCCTGGAGTCCAAGGGAGCCCCCTGCCAGGTGGGCTACCCTGTTCCCATGGGCAAGATGTCAGAAAAGTCAGTAACTGGCAGTTCATATTGTGGGGCTGCTCGGTGGATTGGAATGAAGCTGGGGTGGTGCAACCAGACTCCTGCTGATGGCCTTCCCCGGCCCCATCCTGCTTTCCTCACACTCTGGCTCCTGCCAGCACACCCTCAATCATTTGCACAAGAACCCCCACCTCAGGCTCTGCCCCTAGGGAATGCGATCCAGGGCAGTTCATCTCACAATCTCAAGAGATGTACTCCTATCAGAACATGTCTGTCCACATTTCCCACAATCATTTCACCCAGGGCAGTTCTAAAACCAGTACGTCCACACCTAAGTCCCCCCGGGGAGGCTTGGAGGATGTGGGGGACAAGACAGTGACTTGCAACTCTCCTGGGATCTGAGCCTGTGTGTGCTGCGGCTCAGGGGCACGGAGCTCCTGAGACGTGTGACAGGGTGAAGGTGAATGTGGATTCAAATCTTGGCACTGGGATCTGTAAGTTATGTCGACTCGGGCAACACACTCACTTCTCTCTCCTTCGTTATCACAAAACACCAGCGCCTAAACACTGAGTTTTTAGGAGAATTAAAAGAGATGACATCAACATCATTCAGGGCCTGAGTTTTCTTGTCTTAACAGGCATAATTATGGAACTTGCCTCACAGGGACTGTGAGGGGATTCTGAGAGATGACCCAGGTACAGCTCTTAGTGTGCCGGGCACAGGTACAATGGCGAACAGCTGCTAGGTGCCACGTTACGAAGCAGGCTCAATAAATGTCCATCCCTTTCCCACCACTGGCCGGGGGATTTCGGATTTATCTAGGAGCTCCCAGTCCATCCCGTTTCACCATTCCTCCGATAATGATAACTAACTGGGTGTGGGGATCTTATCTCTTTTCTAAGTAAGCTCCCATATATTAAAACTCTCTGAATTTTCTTTGTGGTAGACAGCGAAGATACTTATAGCTAGAAGGGGCTTAAAGAATTTAGCTTATGCTTCTTTCAACTCTTGCTTAAACTTGCTCTTGCATTTTTAGCCTTTGGGGCTGCAGCCCTTGACCAGCCCCAGCCTGTGTAAGGCTGAGTGCAGGAGTGTCAGGGCTCACGAGCGAGCAAACACTCACTGTAGGAAAAGCGTTCCAATCCAAATCACAACATATTTATAAGAAATTGTGACCCTGGGCCAAAAAAAAGTTCCTCTGACAACTTGAGATATTATTTTCACTATGAAGTACTGTTTAAACTTAATGACTTATAATTAGCCAAAGAGTTGAGGAAAACATGTATCCTTTTGTTACAGTTAATAATATGTTAGCTTTGAGGAACTACATCCCATTTAATCCAAAGAAAAAGAGTGGAACTAGCCTGGCCTCAGGCAGGGATCAGCTGGCACGCCCAGGAAAGGTAAGGTCAAAGGCACCTCCCGCTGGGTGGCCAGGAAGCCGTTTGTGTAGAAATGGGCTAGCATTATTTGGTGACTTTGCAGTCATTCAGCTGTGACGAACAGAACTCCAGTGAGCTGCAGCCCTGACACCAGCTGGTGGGAGCCCCAGAGGCCGAGGTGCCCTGAGCACCCACGTACATCCTCCCCTGGGAGTGGGTGAAGAGGCTGCACGGACGGACAAACACCCCGAGACAGGCTCTGAGAGACCTCTCCCTAAGAAAATAAGATGTTATGAGACCATATTTTTCTTTTTATAACATTTTATATAACTCATAAAACAGTGCTTGTATAAAAATTCACACAGAGTTGCTAGAGAGCATACAATTTCCAAAAATGTCCTGGGTTTTTGTTACATTCAGTTTTCTAAGGATGCACTCAAATCAATGGTAAAATGCAGACATTATGTGGTATTTCATTATCTTTGGTAAAACTATGCTCATGGTTTTGTCTCCTCACAGTATTAACTCTGATATCCACTTTGTGCAGGGTCTGCTATCACTAGGACGTCAGAAAAAACATTAAGGCTGGATCTACGCAAGGCAAGTGGGCGGCGGCAGCCGCTTGGCCCCACCCCCACTTGGTATCATCTACCTACATGGGCAGCAAGAAAGCCCAACGACCTCCAGTCAGGGGTCTTGAAACAGCCCCCTCTCAGTCAGGCAAGAGGCAACCATCTGGGGGAGGTGGAAACTGAGGCCGTCTCCACGGGAACCCGAGTGGCCAGGCTGTGTGGTGTGGTCCGCCCAGTGACTCTCACCATTTAGAACAGCTAATCCACTCATCACTATGTGGATCCCACTGGCTGCTTGATGGGATAGCCCTCCCTCCAGCTTCAAGAAAAGGAGGTGCAGGGCCGCCGCCATCTGGGAGGGGCAGCCGAACCCCCACAACACAGACGCGACTGTAACTCCCTGTGAAAGACACTGCCAGAGAGAACTGAAGCAGGATTCGAACACTCAGTACATGAGACTCCCTTTATACATTCTTTTAAAACTTGCTAACACAGAAAACGAGAGACACTACCACCTATGGCAACGTGCTACTTAACATCAGAATGCGTGTGTGCTAATTCTTTCATTCTCTGGCTATGAGGCCAAGAGAAAAATCCAAAAACAAGTAAAAACCAAAGAATTTAGATGGAGAGGGGGAAGGAATTCACCAACAGATTTTATGGGAAACATGAAATTGTGAAAACAGCAGTTTGTACTTCTATTGCTTCATGTAAAGAACTGCCCCTGGAGCCCACCGCACGGAGAGAGACAGGACCTGCACATGTCTCCTCACGGGGACAGCAAGCAGCTCCCGAGTGCGTCCACCTCTCTGCACGGGAAGGGAGTCTAAGGTTGGGGGGAGGAGCCCTAGGCAGGAAAGGTGTTGAGGAAACCACCAAAACACAGTTTCCAAAAACCAGAACATGCTCTAGGTTACGCAGAAACAACATTCGTTCTTAGAACCTAGAACCTGTTGATTTCTTTAACGTGGGTGGATAAGGTTTTAAAAAAATTAATAACTGATTGTGCTTCTGAAGTTGTGGGTGGCGTTCCACCCCCTGGAAGCAGGACAATTTCACATGGCTTGGAATCCTCTTGGATGCATCCGAGACCAGAACAAACTCCACGGCACACCCTCCAGCCAGCAGGGCTGGCAGGCGAGGGCCACTGCCATCTTTGGGTAGGGAATGCATGTGCGTGTGCGAGCGTGTGTGCGTGTGTGGGGGGTACTAAGGCATCGAGAAAGGCCCGGGTGGGGGGGGTGGGGGGGTTGGGGGGGAGCGTCCTGGCTGCTGCAGTCCCTTCTTCTTTCCAGGCACAAAGAGGTATGTACTTGGTATGTATGTAGGTCCCCTTTACCTCCCTTCAGTTTTTTAGTAAGAAACGTAGGTGGGTAGGTGCGAGTCATTAAATCCCTGCACATTTCTAAATTTCAGAAATTTGAGGCCTGCAGTTGCAACAGAAATAATCTGCAAATGACATTTAAAAGCGAATTTACTGAAATTAGATCAGCAAGTTTACATTACTCAGAATCCTGTCATATATATTAAAATTAAAAAAATGCCTGCTCGGTGCAGGCAAAATTATGTCATACAGCCAGCAGAACTGAAGTCCTAATTAATCGGCTGTATAAAGACAATTCACAGATTGTTTCTATTACTTATGCATTTTAAGGGAGCAAAATATTAAGCCACAAAGCTTTTATGACTACCCTGTGTGACTCTCATTTTTTCAGGTTTCTGGTATGATGTGTTCAGTTTGAGTTAGACCATTTCCCTTCCCTCCTAGGCATCTGGCCCCCAAAGTCAGATAAATAAAAGTGTTGTTTTTAAGGACTTGAACTATTATTTGGGAAACTTCCTGGTTAGAATTCTTGGAGAACACACCACTAGCCTGAAGCAGTTTGACCTTCCCAACCAGTGAGAAGAAGCGTCTCACCCCGAGGCCAAGGGACCAGCCGGATGGAGGACAGCAGGCTCTTCTAGGGGATCTGAGGGGAGAGCTCTGAGTGGACCCTGAGAACGGACATGGGTGGCCCACTCCAGATGACCTGTGTCCTTCCAACGCCAGGTATCCCCGAGAAAGCCTGAGGGTCTGGGCCCACCCTGAGGAACAAGGATGCACACGGACTGGAGGAGCGAACACCGAGCTGTGGTGAAGAACACACCACACAGCTCCCAGAACCCGGGTTCTGTACAAACACACACACAGAAAGTAAACAATTCTCGGTGAGTCCAAAGAGACCCACCCTCAAATCAAACAAGAAGCCAATTATACACACACACTGTTCTCCAAGGAAACGTGTCTACCCCTCCAACCAGCATCCTCATGTGGAGAAAGAAAGAGGCGAGTGGAAGGATGCAGCTCAAATGACACTGTGAACGTGTTTCCACGTCTATCTACATTCATATCATCATCATCATCATCATCATCCAGTGTTCTTGTCTACAGAGAGGGAGCCCCACACTCTACCGACCTGGCTGAGCAGGCCAGGCCACGGGGAAGCCCTGTCCTCAGCGCCGCCGCAGAAGGGAGGGCACATCCCTGGGCAGAAAGGACGTCACGCTCTTCCACCCCATCTACTGCCAGCCAGGAGCATCTCGACTCTTTTGAAATCAGATGTGAAAGGCAGGGTCAACAGAGTGGGTCTCTACACCCCCTGAAGTTATTATCAGCCATCACGCCCAAAGGTGGCCATTCTAAAAATCCCATAAATCTGAAACCACCTTGAAAAGAAATCCCAGTAACTGAAGCCATCTAACAGTAGTTCACCTTGAATATTTAAGATTTTCTTCCTAAGTGGCCCCCCCAGAGAGCCCATGATCCTTTTAAAAGAGATTTCCTTTCTTTCAACAACAGCTACAAAAAGAACTGATAAAAACGGAAGATGTAAAATGTGGGCAGAGGAACAAGACAGTTGCTGAATTTGCATTTCAAATTGAGAAGAAGGGGAGGACGAAGCCAAGGAGAGAGAACCCCTGTTGCTGAGGCCCCTCTGCTCAACCAGCTCTGCACTGCCCCCCCATTGGCTGCACCACTGGGGACTCAGGGCCAAAGTCATTAGTGGGAGACACCAAATGTAAGGCTTCTTTCTTGTAGTGGGGTGGGTGTGTACATGTGCAAAAGTAGTGAGCCCCTTCCCACTGACGTAAGGTGCGTGTCTGTGGGTACCATACACATGCTCCAAAGAAGGCCCAGGTCCTCGGCTACCCATCACTTCTCTACTTTCTTGGCTTTCTTCAGGATGTCACATTTTTTCCTGTTGGGACGGCGGCACCGTTCGTCGATGCTGGGGATACATTCGTAGTGCCACACCTCTTCCATCTTCTCCACGGGGTACACCGCCTCCACATAGTGGCGGATGAGCCGGAGCCGCGTGGGGTCCAGCTGCTTCTTGTTGCAGGCCCCAGAGTGGTTGTACTGCAGCCGGAGGTTCTCGGCCGTGAAGAGTTCGGGGAAGAGCCTGACCAGGAGCCGGGCGGCGAAGTTGCCCACCGAGAGGCTCTGCTGCACGATCTCGCGCACCTCCTTGTCCGACAGCAGGTACAGGGAAGGCACCGGGAAGTCAGGCGACGGGACCACCAGCTCGTCCAAAGGGATCTTGCAGAAGTCCTTGCTGCTTCTTTCGGGGGGCAGCGGGGGCCCTTCAAATTCCTCTCGGAACCTCTCCGGGTTGATTGCATAGCTTGCCAGGTCTCTGCACTCAGGGCCTGGCACGTGGACTTTGCGCTGCTGCTGGTAGGAGCGCCTCTGCTCCGTGTCCCGGCGCCGGCAGCGCTCGTCCAGTTTGCCCACAAACTCCAGCGTCCAGACACGGTCGTTCTTGGCCCGGGGGTAGAGCAGTTGCACGTAATGGCGAATGAGCTTGATGCGGGAAGGGTCCAGCTGCTTTTTGCCCAGGGAGCCACTGCAGTTGTACTGCTTGCGCAGGTTCTCATGCGTGAAGAGTTCGGGGAAGAGGTGCACCAGCAGGCGTGAGGCAAAGTTGCCGATGGACAGGCTGCTCTCATAGATGCTGCGCAGCTGTTCCTTGCTGAGCAGGCAGTCGGCGCCCGGCACCTCGAAGTCAGGCTGCGGGATCTCCAGCTTGTCAAAGTCGATGGGCACCAGCCAGATCTTCTTGGAACGCCGGCCTGGCCGCTCACCCTCGAAGCTGTCCTCCACTTTGACCACAGAGATGTCGTCGGGCAGGCTGGAGGAGTCGTAGCAGTCATCCCGCGGGGGGTCGCCCTCGCTGCCCCCGTCCAGCCCCAGCCCCTCCAGCTCATCGTTGATACGCTGGGCGCACTGATGAAGCCAGGCCTCCTCCTCCTGCATGTCGGGGAAGTAGATCTCTGTGTAGTTGCGGATGATCTGCAGCCTCTGCGGGTCCAGCTCCTGCTTGCCGCCATCCCCATAGCAGCTGTACTGCTCTCCCAGCCTGCGATGGTCAAAGAGCTCGGGGAAGAGCCGGTGCAGGAGGAAAACCGCGAACTCGCCTGGCGACGAGGCTTCGTCCAGGAACTCGGTGAGGTCCTGTGTGTCCACCACGTGGTCAGAGGCTATGGTGCTGCTCCGATCCAGGGACAGGGCTTCCTCCTGGTCTTTGTTGTCCAGAAAGTGGCTGGGGTCCACCTGCTCAGCCTCAAAGAAGCTGGCGACCTGGCTCCCCGGCTGGCTGTCCTCCATTTCCCGCTGGGCCCAGAAGCGGCTGAAGAAGTCGTTCAGCTGGGGCAGGCACTCGGCCTGCCACACGGCCGTGTCCTTCACTGAGGGGTAGTAGACCTCCACATAGTTGCGGATAAGCTGCAGGTGCAGCGACTCCAGCTTCCGCTTGGCTGCAAAGCCGCAGGCACTGCAGCCTCGGGAGAAGTCCACGTCGCTGAAGAGCTCAGGGAAGAGCTGCACCAGCAGGCGACAGGCCAGGTCGCCGCCTGACAGGCTCTGGTCCACGATCTGCTTGAGTTCGGCGGCGGTCAGCTGGTACTCAGGGGGTGGCTGGAACTTGGCCACCATCTCTGTGGGGCTCACCTGTTTCTTAATGCGGCTCACCTCCAGGGACAGCAGGTCCACCTTGCTGTGCAGCTGCGACATGTTGGAGGAGAGTGTGTTGAGCATGTAGAACATCTTCTGGATCAGAAAGTAGATGTTGGGGTCGCCGTCAGTGGTCGCAGCCACACTGCCACTGTCCCGCTTCTGTGTCTCGTTCAGGAGCCTCAGTGGCGAGGGGCTGTTGCTGGGGTTTGCCTTCTCCAAGAGCTCATACGTGCTGAGCACGTCCCCTGTGGGAGGGTTCTTCTTCTCCATGATCTTGTGAGAGATGCCGTACAGAGGCTTCTTGTAGGAGGGGGTGCTCAGGTCACTGCAGGGCTCCTCCTCGCCCGGCCACACAGAGACCAAGGTCTTGCCCCTGCCGGCCTGCTCCCCGTTGCCCTGGCAAGGCGAGCTGTTTTCCCGGTTCCTCATGCCTGCTAGAAGTGCCTGGAAAACAAAAGCTGTGTTAGGGGGGTGTTCTGATGCACCACACTAGACACAGGTCTGTGTCACACACACACAGGGGCCAAGGTCAACTGCAGGAGCTTCCGAAGAACTGCTTTGCCCTGCCCTGGAATCAGCCTGTCCCAGCTTCCCAGAGCAAAAACCTGCTCACGCTTCCTACACCCTGAGGCTCAGACTGGACCGGGGAGGCTTCAGGTTGCTGCGGGGCACCAGCACTGGGCTTGTGGCTCATAGGGCCGGACAGGCGATGAGCACAGGAGCTGACAAGGCCTGGCAAGAACCTGCTCTAGGGAGGACTGAGTCTGTGGGAACACGAGGAGCCCCTGTGGCAGCTCTGCCACGGGCAGGTCACCTCATCAACTTGGGCTCTAGTGCTTTCAGGCAGGGGTGGTAAAATCACTCCTGCCCCCAGCACCTCTGGCATGTCCTCCAGTCTGCGGCTCTCGGAGAACAGACGTCACCACTCAGGACGGCTGAGATGCACAGTGGTGAGCACGGACAAACAAGGTCTGGACAGTGGCGCTGTGCCACCGACTCCACCACGCCTGGAAGCACGTCTCATTTCGGACCAGAAAAGGTCCTGGAATCTCCAGAGCCTATACAACTGCGAGACTCTGAAGTGATGAGGCCTCCCAGGTTTCTAAGTCTTGGTCTCCTTGTCAGTCCAGCAGCCCTTCCTGATCAGTGTTCCAGGACAGAACGACGCCCCACTGTCCTAAGTCACCCACTGCACATCGTGAACTACTGTGGGTCTCACGCATCTAAGAGGGCACTTGCAAGATGGCAGCGCAGGCAGACACGGTTCGCCTCGTCTCACAACCACATCAAATTATAACTAAATACAGAACCACCATCACTCAGAACTGCCAGAAAGTGAGTTGAAGGGAAGTCTGACAACTACAGAATTAAGAAACCACATCCAGGACTTCTGGCCAAGATGGAGGCATAGGCAGACACACTGTGTCTCCCTGCACAAGCAAAAGAAGGACGACAATTTAAAAACAAAAAACAACCAGAACTAACAGAAAAGTCGAACTGTATAGAAATCCCACAACCAAGGAGTTAAAGAAACATTCATCCAGACTGGTAGGAGGGATGGAGTCTGGCAGCCAGAACTAGAGGACTCTCGGCAACGTGGCAGACAGCAGAGCAGGGCGAGTGAGGCAGCGGAGTGTGGAGCAGGGCACCCAAGGCTGCGGCTGCTGGACTGGGCGGTCCCACATTCGCACTCAGATAAACCAGGAGAAACAAAGGGAGAGCAGAATGGACTACGCCACCCAGGACCCCAGTGCGGGGACATAAAGCCTCAAACTACCAATTGAAAACACCTGTGGGGGTAAGCCGGCAGCAGGAGAGACTCCCAGCTTCACAGGAGAGTTTGTTGGAGAGACCCACAGGGTCTGAGAACAGACACAAGCCCACCCACCTGGGAACCAGCACCAGAAGAGCCCACTTTGCTTGTGGGAAGTGGGGGAAGTGACTGAAATCCGGCAGAGAGTGGAGCCAGTGACATTGTTCCCTCTCGGATCCCTGCCCCACATACAGCATCACAACCCAGTGATGTGAGTTACCCTACCCTGGTAAACACCCGAGGCTCCACCCCTCACTACGTTAACAGGCACATCAAGACAAAAAAAAAAAATAGCCCAAAGGAAAGAACAGATCAAAGCTGCAGAAAAAATACCACTAAGTGATGAAGAGATAGATAACCTATCAGACACACAGTTCAAAGTGCTGGTAATAAGGATGCTCACAGAATTGGTTGAATTTCATCACAAATCAAATGAAAAAAATGAAGGCTACACTAAGTGAAATAAAGTAAAATGTACAAGGAACCAACTGTGATGGGAAGGAAACTAGGAATCCAATCAACAGTGTGGACCAGAAGGAAGAAAGAAACATCCAATCAGAGAATAATGAAGAAACAGAATTCAAAAAAATGAGGAGAGGCTTAGGAAGCTCCAGAACACCTTTAAATATTCCAACATCCAAATTACATGGGGTATCAGAGGGGGAAGAGGAAGAGTGGCAACTGGAAAACTTATTTGAACAAATAATAAAAGAGAACTTCCCCAACCTGGCAAAGGAAATAGACTGCCAGGAAGTCCAGGAAGCTCAGAGAGTCCCAAAGAAGTTGGACCCAAGGAGGAACACATCAAGGCACATCATCATTACATTAGCCAAGATTAAAATGAAGGAGAGAATTCTAGAAGCAGCAAGAGATAAGGGGACAGTCACCTACAAAGGAGTTCCCATCAGACTGTCAGCTGATTTCTCAAGAGACCTTACAGGCAAGAAGGGGCTGGAATCCAAAGACCTACACCCAAGATAGCTCTATCCAACAAAGCTTTCATTTAGAATGGAAGGGCAGATAAAGTGCTTCTCAGATAAGGTCAAGTTAAAGGAGTTAATCATCACCAAGCCCTTATTATGTAAAATGTTAAAAGGATTTGTCTAAGAAAAAGAAGGTCAAAAATGTGTACAGTAAAATGATAGCAAACTCACAATTATTAACAACCACACCTAAAACAAAAACAAAAGCAAACTAAGGAAACAACTAAAACAGGAACAGAACCACAGAAAAGGAGATCACATGGAGGGTTGGTAACAGGGAAGAGGGAAGGGGAGAGATGGGGGAAAGGCACAGAGAATAAGTAGCATAGATGGTAGGCAGAGAATAGACAGGGGGAGGGTAAAATAGTAAAGGAAATGTAGAAGCCAAAGAACTTACATGTACGACCCATGGACATGAACTAAAGGGGGGGGGGAATGTGGGTGGGAGGGGGTGTGCAGGGTGGAGGAGAGTGAAGGGAGGAAATGGGACCACTGTAATAAGCATAATCAATAAAATATTTTTAAAAAGAAAAGAAAAGAAAAAGAAACTACATCCACCCAGACTGAGCGGAGCTGGCAAACTCATGCCATATCTGAGACTTCATCAACCTGGCTAACACTATGTGACCAGCCTTGCAGATCACCAGATACTCCGGCCCACCCAAGCTGCTTTTCCATATGAATGGCTGGTCTTAGCTCATGCTTCACAACTTCCCAAATCCTCTCAAACAGCAACAGCTGGCATCATTGAGCCCCAGGCCTGGCACTGGCAGCAGCCAGCCCAGATTCACAGCTCGGCTTCGCTTGGGAATCTCCAAGCCCAGCACAAGTAGCAGCCAACTCAGTTTGCTTTATAGTTTAGGCAAGGTGCCCTGGGCAAAACACCAGTGGGGCCTGGCCTTGGCCTACACACCCAGGAAACCCCACAGCCAGCAGACCCCATAGGCAGCTATAGGCCACGTTGGAGCACCACTACCCTGCCCCTGCACAGCTGATCCTCCACACAGGGCGGAAATTGGTAGTCAGTGGTCACAGCCAAAGCTTGTAGCTGACTAGCCTGAGTAAATCATTCCCACTGACCCACCAATAGCAACCAAGGCCCAACTACAAGAGGAGGATGTACTCAGCCCACACAAAGTGTGCACCTCAAGTATCCAGCTTGGGTGATAGGGGAGGCTGTGCCACTGGACACTCTAGGACACCTAGTACATTAGGCCACACCACCACAACACAGAGTCAAAGCAGCTCTACCTAATACATAGAAACAAACACAGAGAAGCTGCCAAAACAAGGAGACAAAGAAACATGGCCCAAATGTAAGAACAGAGCAAAACTCCAGAAAGAGAGCCAAACAAAATGGAGATAAGCAATCTATCAGATGCGGAGTTCAAAATACTGGCTGTAAAAACGCTCAAGGAACTTAGTGAGGGCCTCAACAGCATAAAGAAGATCCAGTGAGAAATGAAGGACCCACTAATTCAAATAAAGGACAACTGACAGGCAAACAAGTAGAGTGGATGAAGCTGAGAATCAAATCAATGACTTGGAACATAAGGAAGAAAAAAACAACCAATCTGAACAAGAAGAAGAAAAGGAAATGTAAAAAAATGAGGATACTATAAATAGCCTCTGGGACAACTTCAAGAGGTCCAAACTTCCCATCATAGGGGTGGCAGAAGGAGAAAAGAAAGAGCAAGAAATTGGAAGTCTATTTGAAAAAATAATGAAAGAAAACTTCCCTAAGTTTTCTTAGGAAAAGAAATAGACATGAAGACATGAAAGAAATAGACATGCAAGTCCAGGAAGTACAGAGTCTCAAACATGATGGATGTGAAGAGGCCCACTCCAAGACACACCATAATAATGCCAAAGGTTGAAGATAAAGAGAGGATCTTAAATGCAGCAAGGGAAAAGAAGTTAGTTACCTATGAAGGAGTTCCCATAAGACTGTCAGCTGATTTCTCAAAAGAAACTTTGCAGACTAGAAGGGATTGGCAAGAAATATTCAAAGTCATGAGAAGCAGGGACATAGAGCCAAGATTGCTCTACCCAGCAACGCCATCATTTAGAATTGAAGGGTAGATAAAAAGCTTCCCAGATAAGAAAAAACTAAAGGAATTCATTATCATCACCAAACCATTATTATATGGAATGTTAAAGGCACTTATTTAAGAAAAAGAAGATAAAAACTACTAAGAATAAAATGGCAAACATACATATGTATAGACAATTAAATCTAAAAAAACTAAGCAAAAAAGAACAGACAGAATCATGGACACAGAGTGTTTTAATGGTTGACAGATGGGAGCGGGTGTGTGTGGATGGGTGAGGAGGTGAGGGGGTTCAGAAGTACAAATAGGTAGTTACAGAATAGCCATGGGCATGTAAAGTACCGCACAGGAAATGGAGTAGCCAGGAAACTCATACACATGACCCGACCCACGGACATGCGCAATGGTGTGGGGACTGCCTGAGGGAGTCGGGCGTGCTGGGTAGAGGAGGGCAAAGGGGCAAATATCAGGACAACTGTCATAGCACAATCGACAAAATGTAATTTAAAAAAAATAAAAAATAAAAGGGTACTTTCTACATATCATCCAGCCTTGCTCAACAGAGGCCTGTGAGAGACTTAAGCCGTACCAAAAATG